CTGCAAGCTGATTTTGAGTTTTCGCTACGCTTCAAGAGCCATTCGAGCACCGCGGCTTGCCGGATTTGGGGATTTGATGCATCTGGCCGGCTTGGCAGTGCGTGCAAGCCCAGCGGAGTTCTTGCCGAGCAGGATCGCACCTCCGCCAAGGTCCCTTGGCCGTAAACGTGCTGTGGGGCCCCCACCTTTCCAGCTTGCAGTCGACCAAGCCGCCAGACAAGCACAGGATTCAAGTGCGAGACATCCGATGAAGCATTGATGACATTGGGCCACTATAGGCCAAGAGAGTGCAGGACAACATCTAGCCAGGTTTCCTAAACCCCAACGGATGTCGGGCCCCGCTGAGCGGACTCAGGCGGGGCCGTGTTCTTTTAGGCATTGTGCGCACGACGCTCGCGATCACTTCCCTTGAACACGCATGGCCTCGGCACCTCCTAGGCCATCTGCCGCTTCAGGGATTATTCTTTGTTTTAAAATCCGGGCTGGCCGCGCCGAAGTTTTATGGGGGCCGCCCTTGAGCTCAAAGAGCTTCCAAGCTCGCAGAGTGACCAACTTCGGAAGTTTCCAACATGCTATGGCTTATGACTCGTGGTGGTCTGTTCGCCGTGGAGGTTGGTCACGAACAGGCACAGCTGTGCCAAGTGTTCTGTCGTGAAGCTTTGCTTGTCCCGCGTGAGGAAGTGAGAGTCGAAATCCTAGACGTTCAGAGCTCCCCCGCACCGAAGCAACACCCCTGTGGTCGGTCGCAGGGCAGCGCCGGATCCAGCACTGAACGTGCTGCAGGCGGAAGCAGATTAATTTATGGTTGAGGGCTCAATGTAGAAGCGCAAATAAATAGTAGTATTCTTCCCTTTTTGTCCGTCTATGCTCTTCTATGATCATAATGTACACTATGCCCCAACACTCTTTTCTCAATTACGTAGGCCCCTCCCTATGTTACGCTGGTTTGGGTGCAGCATTCAGAATGCACATCGTTTCTCACAATGAGGCTTCCATCCCTTTCAAGTCACACTGTACCTTCTATCATTGGAAGGCAACCCTCAACCCTAATCCCCAAACCCCTAATCCCTGGTCTCCAAACCCTAAACCCCTAATTTAATACAAACCCTGTTGTCTCCTGTGAGCATAGTTCTCTGCCACGCGAGAGGGAACAAAAAACTCCCCAACCCTAAACTGTTAACCACGCGTTACGATAAACCCTAAACCCTAAACCCGGGCACGTCCTTGCTGAGAAGGAGGCAAAAAACCCTAAACCCCAAACCCTAAAGCCTAAACCCTTAACCCTAGGGGTCTTCCGATTTGTTTGGCGGCTTCAGCCGATGAAGTCCTATTGCTTGGAAAGTGAGTCATATAGGGGCCTCAATCATTACCTATACTATTTTGGGGGGGTTCCTTATTGTACTTAGAGTATAAGGGGGCCCAAAACCCTATTCGAATTATTAAGGCCCCTACATTAAGGTGCCCAGGTGTTTGTTTCTGCTGTTGCTGATTGCTGTGGCTTCTTGTTAGATGGGTTCTTCGCGTCATGTTGCGCCGCTGCAAGAGCCGGGCAGAAATTAAGACTTGGAAGGAGCAAAGTTCACGTCGTAGCTAAGACGCATCCAGTCGGAAAGTTGCAGCAGGACGCAATCTCCGTGACTAGAACAGTCAAATCTTGCTAAGCCAAGTTAACAGTGACGTTGGTGGTCGCTTGATGACCACCGTTTTCAAGTCCGAAGAGTCTCCCGAGGAGAAGTGCCGTCTGCTTAAAGAGAAGTCGGCGCAAGAGGGTCAGCAGCTGACTTCCTACATCGGCTCGGTGCTCTCCAGGCACGTTCAGGGTGCCAGGGTTGCGGGCTTTTGTGACACTACGAGGTCCGACACCGCCTTGTGCAAACGCAGCGAAGCCTTAAAGTCTAAAGAAATTGTAGATCCGCGCAAGCAATCAGGAAGGACGCCGAAGCCTCAGGCTTGACGCTGATACATCACGGACTCCAGATGTATGTCTTCTGAACCCGAAACCTCCAATTCTAAAAGTTGCTGACAGCTCGCAGTTTGCTTACTTTCGCTCGATGCCTTCTATTCGGAGCAGGTGGGGTCATGCATACCTGCAATTGATCCATATCTGCACTTGCTCATGGACTTAGTGTTTGTCGTTTTCTGTGCTCTTGGTTTGTATTCAGGTTGTAGGCTAACCGTTGATATCCTGAAGCTTTGTCTGCACCTGTGTCTCGTAGGGCGGCAATGATGGTCTCCGGCTCGGGTGTCTCTAACGTGGCTTTCTTCCAAAACATGTCCGCACCGCTTGACGAGTGATTTCACATCGCTGACTGCGGACCATTAGCCTCGCATGGCTAGTCCCCGTGTGGGAGCATACATGCTAAAACCCGAAACCCGCACCCGAATCAGAAAGACTCAACCTTGAGCCCAAACCCTTCCTGTCCCCTCGAATGGTGGGCTAGAGCAAGCTCTCTTATGCAGGTTGCTATTGTATCGTCCGTGTGCGTTGTGTGTCTGCCGGTCCCGCTGTGTGTCTTCCTCCATCTGACCTAAGACACAAGCCTCGCCTTGCTTGTCCAAGTTGTGAGCGCTGCAACCCCCAACTGCTTTGGTCCGAGCTGCGCCCCAATCCTCCGGTCACGTCGGCGAACCTTTCCCAGACATCATGCTCGACTTGATCACCCTTGTCTCGGCAGTTGGCCTGCAAAAGGAGCTTACGCACACAAAGCACGGCGAGCAGATCATCCGTGAGGACAACACCGACTTCGTGGCCTCTGCTGCCGAGTCGCTGTCGGCAGCCTTCGATCAGTTCGATCGTCTTCTGGCACAGGGCGTGGCTCTTGTCCTCCCTGCGGAGAAGCCTGCAACGCCACCAAAGAAGGCTTGAAGAGTGAGACACGGGGCCCTTGCAGCCGTGGCAGTTCGGCATCTGGAAATTCGGACGCCAGGAGGCTGTCACTATGTCCCAGAGTGGTCATTGGTGCAGCGAAATTCAATCTGCGTGTGGTTCGACCGCGATTCTTGTGTGAGACTCTTTCTAAATTTAGAGCTGCATCATATATCTTGATTTGGACAGACGTCCAGCTCGAACCCGTGCAGTTTGGTTGGATTTAATCGAACCTAATCGCTTCCTGTACCATTGCTTTGGCATGGCGCAGAGATCTTTCCCGGCGACCGCTGCGAACGAGCGACAAATCCTTGCTTACGGGCCATGAGACTTGTAGTGGGCAAGGTAGTGCCAAGACGCGACGTGTTTATAATCATAGTCATACGACCCGCTGACAGTTCCTACGTTATTATGCTTCAATATGTGTAAAAACCTATATGGTTCTATGCATTAAGGCCCCTTCCACGGATGCCATCTGAAATGCTTCGCTCGAGGATTTTAGTGGACTTTTGCCGCTTTGCCGACGTCGTCCTACGCTGGGAGCGGGCGACGCAGGGCGCGGAGAGGACAGCGACAGAGGCTTTGTGGCACCGTGCTCTACTTGTTGTTTGCTGCCCGGGTTTAGCTTTACATAATTCCCAATAGCTTGAAGAAAGGCAATTAAGAACCCGTCGAGACGGCCGCCACTGTGGGTTGGCAAAGTGGCACAGGTTTCCATAGGAGTTTTCAACAAGTCAGGTGCAAGAAGGCTCGAAAGGTTTCTGCCAATTTCTTTAGAGTCGATCGGGCGCAGGTTTGAGATTTACGGGCAGAGAAAGGCAGGGGGAGGGGGGGGATGCTGTCCGTGTGCTTCGTGATTTCGTATCCTCAAAATTGAACTCCTCCATCCTCACAGTGTTTTCTTGACTTCAAAACGGAGTCGCGGCTGTTGCGCGAGTCCAAGCCCTAAACCCTCCCCAAACCCTGAACCCTACACCCGAAACCCAAACCTACCAAAAAAAAGTCCAACGCCTCCCAGAAGCCTCAGCAGGATTCCCGAAGAGGGACCGGACCTGGAGACACAGCTGGACCCGGGTGGCCTGCACCTCTGCTGCTGTCAGCTCCTTTCAGAGCTCCTTCAAGGGCTCCTTACGGTTCGCCGTAAGGGTATGTATGTATATATAGAAATACATATATACATATATATATATATATAATGCAGGTTCCTTTAAGGGGGATCCTTCTAGAGCTTCTTCCAGGTTCTAGCCCTGGCAAGATGGTTGGGGTCTTGTTGGTTCCTTTAACGGCTTCCTTCAGCGTTGTGAAGCTGCCGTTTCCTGATCATAAGTTGTTGCTCTTGGGTTGTTCCATGTCTTTTCTCTCACCCACTTTCTGGGGGGTTCAGGGTTTGGGCTGTCTTGTAGCATTGAGGGTTTAGAGCCCTGAGCCAGGGTTGAGAGGATGCGGGGTTTGTGTGGAGAAGGTTTCAGCTTCCGTTGCTCGTGGAACGTGGCGCCTGTTGCGTGTGCATGTCTTCCTTTGTCGGGCGTCCGGCACTTCAACGCTGGCTGGGGTTCTTCCTGCTGTCTCATCCAAAGCCAGTTGCAAAGAAGAAGGGATTATGGTTTGCTGGCGTTTGAAGGCATGGGGCCGGCGAGTCTCCCGTGACTCACAGATCCGAAGGGTTTGGCGGCCTCGAGCGCTTAATGTATTTTTTAAAGATCGTTAGGGGGTTCAGGGTTGAGGGCTTTAGGGCTTGGGTTCAGAAGAGCCTCGGGCTTGCGTCACACGTGCAACAGCGTGGAGGCGGGGTCACCCACTACATTCTTTTGGTTTGGACTGGGACAGGACGGTACATGATTGCTGGAGTCATCGTTTCCGACGCCCTGCAAAAGGGGAACAGTGAGCTACGATTCCCGGCGCATCAAGCCTTCAACCCTGAGCGAAAGTAGAAGCCATCAAGTTGGAATATCAATATCGTCATGCTCTTAAGATAAAGCATCATGGGATCCAGGCACTAGTCAGCCTTAACTTGTGTTCCAACTTTCTGTGGATCACTCTAGCCCCTAGTTAATCGATGACCCTAGCATAGATTATAGACCCGAAGCTTAGAGTATCCAGGATCCTTCTCATAAGGACACTTAAATCAGGAGCCTCTAAACCCTTAACTCGCCTGGATTGTCCGAGCGCGAGCGCCGAAACCCACCTAAACCCTGAACCCTTACCTAAACCCCAAACCCTAAACCCTAAATGCGAGAGGGAAAAAAAACCCTAAATCCTAAACCCTAAATCAGGCAACAAAAACCCCTAAATCAGGTGCCTCTAGCTTTCAAGCCCAGCTCCAAGATCAGCATCTCTTGGGGCCGGGCCGAGGCTCTCACCCAGCCCTAAACGGAAACGGTTTAGGGTGTAGGGTTTAGGGATGTTTAGGGTTTTGGGTTTAGGGTTTAGGGTTTAGGGGAACTTTAGTAAAAAGGGGAACTTTAAAGCTGAGTCGGAGCAGAGCCTGGGTTCAAAAAAAGGGGAACTTTAAACCCTGAACGCACAACTCCAGACCCTGAGCACTGCGGATGCGCAGCAGTCCTGAAACTTTACCAGGCTTCCTAAATGAGGGAACTTCGAGGGATATCGAACTGCACATCACCACGACCTACATGGTACGGGATCCATAATTTTCAACCAGGCCGGTCATGCAAATCAGCGACCCCTCAAAGCCTTTATAGACAAGCCAGTTGCCCTCTTTCCACAGCCTGTGTAAACAAATCAGAGACCGGTAGTGACTCGAAGGGGGCCCTTGAAAACCGTTACCCGCAAACTGGGCGTCCCTAATTACCAGGGACTCTTACAATCCTTCGTAAACGAACGGGGGGCTGTTACTTAGTTATTTTGTTCTAGGCCCAGCTCAGGTTGCTCGACCGCCTGGAGCGGCAGGACCGGCAGAACACCGAGCTGGAGGTGTCGTCGTCGTCGTAGCAGCAGCAG